TGAGTTTATCAGAAAGTAAGATCCCTTGCAGCGAACTGATTTTGTTGGCCACATCATTTGTACATTTCTTTAAAACCCATCTACTAATCAATAATTAAAATTCCACAGTCAGGTGGATATTGACTCTTCATTCAAACACAAAGGTCAGGCTAACATCCTTTGCCTGATTTCAACAAAGTTATAATCATTGTGCCTGAGAACATCAGGAAAAACTTATTATTTTCTTTTTGTCATGAATCATTGGTATGATGTAGTTATTAGGAAAAAACTGAGTAGAAAGATACAAGAATCCATGTTTAATGCTCCTTTAACAAGGGTCCACTTTATGCTTTGAGTATGAATCTTATTTCTCCTCCTCCTCCTCCTCTTCCTCTTCCTCCTCCTCTTCCTCCTCCTCCTCCTCTTCCTCCTCCTAATAATTGGCCTTCTTCCAGAATCCCTATTTACACATTAACAAAAAACATTTCATGTATGATTTAAAGCTTAATCAAATCTAATGACTTTTTAATATTGTATTTAGGAGATAATCTGCCCAGTCATTCAAGAGCTTCTTTCTCTATCTTCCTTCTCTATCTTCCTCCTCCTCCTCCTCCTCCTCTTTCTCCTCCTCCTCCCCCTCTTCCTCCTCCTTCTTCTTCTCCTTCTTTTTCTTCCTCTTCTCCTTCTCCCATTCCTAACTGTAAGAGAAGTAAGATTAACATTCTCCTCATCCTAGGCTGGGTTATTTGTACTTCAGCTCATAGTTCAGAAGAATGGAGTCCAGACTGGGAACAGGTGCAGCAGATCTGAGTCATGGTTACCACAAGGCCACAATCTGGATGTGAATCCTGTCCACTGACAGGGCACACCTGGAGCCCAGTCCCTGAATTTTTCTTTAAAAAGACTTTTGTTCTCCCTTTGAGACACTAGTCTGTTATTCTTCTTATTTGCTAGCAAATCATTTTTTAAGACTTATTTTTCCTGTCTATCAAAATCTTGTCCTCCTTATTTGGATAAGCACGAGAGATAAGGACCACACTTTTGGTATCACTCTGGGTACTATATCCCAGAGATAACTTTTATACTCTCTGTGATCTTTTTCAATGATGGTTCAAAAGAAGGTAATGTATATTCTAATTTTTCAAGCTGCTCTTTTTGAAATGGTCTAAAAATGCCTTATGTCCACAGAGTTTTAGATATTTATGCTGGAGTTTTCCTTTTTGTAATTTTAGTTAATTAATTTTGTGGACAAATTATAATTGTATATAATTATGGGATACACAGTGTGCAATGATTGAATCAAGCAGATTAACATATTCTTTCCCTCACATACTTGTCTTTTATTCTTTCTAACTATAACTTTGTACCTTTCCTCTCACCCTAGACCTTGGTTAAGATCCATTGTTTAAGATTCCTCAAACAAGTGAGAAAATGCAGTTTTTGTCTTTCTATACTGAATTTCTAAGTAGCAATTATTTATGGTCATAGTGTTATAGGAAGATTTTCATGTTCTTTCTATCTTTTTGTGTTTTCTAATTTTCCTGGAAAAAGAAAACCCAAACAAAAGACTGTCATATTTAAAAAGTCATTCAATTAATGCAGCTTATTTATCACTGATGTTTATCCTAATCACAGTGAGGCTTTTAATCCTTTGCCAACTTTGCTGTGGTTTTTACTACTTTGTCTTTTCTCTTTTTATTTCTATTTCTTAAAAAAATAAATTTTATTGTATGTATTTAAGGTATACAACATGATGTTATACCATATAAATATATAGCAAAATGGTACTATAATGGAAGAAATTAGCATGTACATTGTCTAAATTATCCATTTCTCTTCCCCCCAGAGCAAGAATAGCTATGATGCAGTTTACACATCTATACATTTATCAAGAATACTGAATACAGTGACACTATTATTAACTTATTTCTAAAGCTCAGAAACCCCATGAATTTCTCCTGTCTGAGAGGCCTTATCCTGGCTCAGTTCATTTATGTGGTTATTTGAT